ACTGTGTTTTTTGACAACCCGCATTGAGGGCAGTCGACTTAATAAAGTTATTATATATATTTAAACAACAATATAAATTTAACACTTTTCAACATTCCATCGAAATCTAATAAGATGTAGAATTCGATTCTTTATAGCTATTCGCCTCCATCGGTTCGATATATTCATGTCAACCGATGCATCCATGGAATATGAATACAATAATTATCCTAAAATTCGTTTCATAATCCCTTTCAACATTTAAACCTATTCGCGTGTAAATACATCATATTCAAATGCAATTGTGTTTCGTCCAACTGATGTGTGATATTTCTATTACAGGCAACTTTCACTGAATCAGGTTTATCCTGAAAAATTAATCCTAAAAGTTGCCATATCAATCTGACACTTTTGATTACAAAAAAAAAAAAAAATGAAAAAAATGGAAAAAATTAAAAAAATGAGAAAAAAAATTCATGATTTGCAAACAAAATTTGCAAAAAAACAAAAAAAAATAACAGAAATGCAAGTAAATACAAATTTATTTTTGAATATTAAAAACAAAAGTGATTTAATTTTTTTTTAATAACTCTATAAAATAGGTTGAGTATTAGAAATATGAATAATAATAAAATACAAATACCTAATAAGTAATAATATTAATATTTGTTATTTCACAGAGCAATTATTGATGTGATGTTTTCATAGTAACCATATGAAGATTTTAAAATCAATGTGATCATGAACAAAGAGATTTTCATGACAAGAATGAACATAATTACAACTATTATAATTAAGTTAATGTTATGTACATGATATATTATGATTAAACTGTGATTTTTTAGTTGTGATTACAACACCATAAGGATTTGTTACTTTTTTTATTTATTTTTTATAATATGGCTTTTTGGGTGTGTTTTAGAACAAAAACACCTATTATCGATATTGTAAAAGAGAAGTTAATCTGTGCTTGTATAGAAGCCGATTTTTGATATTTTAATTGCTAAGCTAAATAATTAAAATGTAAGAAGTAAAATATTACCATATTAAAAACTATATATTTGACATTAAAAAAAAATAATACCGACAATTAACTCCTATACAAGCCTAAAAAAACTTTACTATAATTCATATAATAAGTGTTTATACAATAATGTCATTCATTAAGCTATATTATTGGAAATACAAAACTAAGTTTCACCGCTTTTCGCTAAAAACACATTTGTAATTGGTGTGTAAAATGCTGTTCTCCACCGTGCAGTGGCAAAATTTAATCTTACCATATACATCGGCGCCCCGTAACACCACGGCTCATAGGCCTTATCGCGATCAGCTGTCAATTGGCTAGACTCAGCTCAACTGCGGGTCTTGGTGGTAATTGCGGTTTATTTATATGATTACTAGGGTCCGGATTTTAATGCACTAAAAATCATTGAAAATGCTCTAAATAGCTAAAAATGCATTTTACCAGGAAAATTCACCCCTTAAAAAATGACATACATTTTTATTAAATTATTGGTAATTTATAATATTTTAATTTATTTAAAAAAAAACAACTGAAAATCGAAAAATTTGACTTGCGACTAGCGAAGATGGATTTGACTGAAAGGTTGTATTTGACTATTTGATTGGAGGCTGTATTGATCATTCTAAACATACCAAAATATACACTTTAGATTATGTTAAATTCTACGTTAAGCTATTTTACCTATAAAATGTTGAGCATTGCATTGAACAATAATATATTGTTTAATATTTTCAAACACCAATGACCTTCTATTGTCCGAAAGAATATTTTTATATGTTGAAAAACTCCTTTCGACGTCCACGGATTTTTAGGAGCATATTTAAAGTGACAAATATCATTTGATGTTAATTCTCCTGCAGTGGCGTCGCGAGGTAAAATTTATATGTAGGCGAAGTAGACTTAAAGAGGTCCTTTTTTAAATTTTTTTAGTAAACATTTAAGTAACAATAGTTAGTAAATAAATATTAAGATTTATAATTTTTTAAAACAATAAACTCTAATTATTAACCTTTTATTTGCAAATGTAGTTTTAATATAAAATTAAATACATATTTTTTTAAATTAATAATACTGTTAGAAGTTTCATTTTTTTTTATTTACAAGAAATGGACTTTTCGGCTTTTTGCTTCACTAAATGTTATAAGTATATCATCGTAATTTAAATTATTTGCAATTTTCGTTTCAATGGACAAAACTGCTAATGCTGAGAGTCTTTCCTGTGTCATCGTATTTCGTAGGTAATTTTTAATTATTTTTTTTTTTTTTTTACACTTTCTTTTTTATTTATTGAACAAAACATAATATTTACAATCTGTATTTTCAAGTTATACAATAAGTAAATGTGATGGGGATTGATTTACAGGAGGGGGAAGTTGCCCAGTAGCGACATCCTGTGGGAAGCGATTTAAGGAGAGAGTAGGTCTCTACACCAGTTTCTTTTCAGACATTTGGGTGGATTACCTGGAATTTGATTGGATGACAGTTGGGTGATTATAGGATTAGAGTGAGTACTGAATGTTTTGTGTGTTTTTTTTGTAGGTGATTTTGGCATTTTAATTTTTGATGAACTTAATTGACTTAAAAAATATATTAAGGAATCTCATACAACTATACAAGTGGACATTTGTTCTGTACTACTATACCGTGGACTACGGAGCACTACATAGTAATATAGTTTTAAAAGATTAATAACAAATGTGAATTTGGTCTTGAAATAAAATTTTTTATTCAAAATATGGTAATGCCGTGACCGATATTTAACCGTGTATGAGAACTAAATGAGAATAGGTGCGTAAGGACATTAGATGTTTTTAATTTGAAGTGACAATTCTTTTTAAATAATGAAGTAGGAATATACATTAAATTAAGGATGAATTCATTAGGTTTTAATAATAATGAGACAACCAATATTAATAAAATAATAATCATAACCAACCCTGACCTATACTAATATCCGAGTGCTAGGAGCGCCGAAAAGTCATGAAAGCTAAGGTTTCGAATGCATATTTTGCCAATTGCACCATGACGCCAATCGCAGTAAGTTGCGGCTGCATCAGTAAGTTTTTCCGTAAAAGCATGTAATAGACTTTTAGGCGTATTAATTATTTTTAAATTTTTAAATTAATTCATTTTATAACATTTTTAATAATTTTCCACTAAAAGGCACTTAATTTTTGTAGTTTTATTTTGGAACAGCAGGTTCCGAATGCATATAGTAAGGCACCATTGATCAAATTAGACTTAATACTAAAGCATATTATTACTATAAAAATTAAATGCCATTTAGTGGAAAACCGTTTAAAATGTAATATAACAAATAAATTTAGAAATTAAAAAAATAATAATTAATACATCCGATAGTCGATTACATGCTTTTACGGAAAAACTTACTGATTCAGCCGCAACTTACTGGGATTAACGTCGTGGTACGTTTGGCAAAATATACATTCGCTTTCGTGTCTCTTTCGCGTTCCGATCTCTCAGATATTAGTATAGATCAGAGATAAAATAAAATCCGTTCCCTAGCTATGATCATTATTCTAATATTATTGTTTGTGCCTAATGAATTCATCCTTAATTTAATGTTTAAACTTCTTTACTTAAAAAAGTTTGACCATTCTGTGTGGAAATATAAAAATATCTTTGTTTCTAGGGATAAATGGTTTTATATTCCACCCGTATTCCTGATTTCCGGTTTGTGGAGAGAGATATTTCTCTTTTGGTCCATCAGATTTTTCTCTTTTTATGAGCTCCATGAGTTTTTTGTCCGGTTGGCCAACTCTCGTTTCGTGGCGTGCGTAAAATTTTCCTGCTAACGGTTGCCGTTTTAAATTTGGACGAAAGGCGGTAAATAATTTTTCATGACATTGCTCTTTTTTGTACAACTCCTTGAGAATATTATGATTATTCATATTATGAGCTGAAGAAAAAATAAGATGTTAATATTTCTCGTAAACAAATGGTAATGTTTTACAGCTCATTTATACAAAGTTATGTTAATTAATAACATACTTAAAACGTATTGAATTTGGAAAAATTTTGATTTGAATTAATGATTATTGATAATGTTTTTCGAAGTATTCTGTTGCTAACACACTGTGTTGCTATTTATAAAAAACGTTTTTTTATTTATATAAATTTACATTTATTTAATTTATTTTAATTTAGTAGAAGAACCAAATATCTTTAAAAGATAAGTGGAACTTTTAATATTTTAGCTTTAAAAAAAAAGCATCTACAATTTTGAAAAATAAAAAATTTAAGAAGCCTATAAATAGCATAAACATCAATAAAATAATTCAAGACTATGAAATGTATTTAATTAAATAACTAATATCGTACAACGGATATTCGTTAAAATATTCGATTTGGTCAAAATATGTCATTGCAACACGTATAAAATATTTTATGCAATTTTCCAGTATATTTTATTTCTTTGGTATTATAGAAAATTTTATGAAAAAACTTTTGTCCTATTTTCAAATATTAAGAATACAAATGAATTTTCATTTATAAAAATGTAATGTAATTTTGTGATTTTTGTCGTTTTTAAAATATAATATTCAAACGTTCCAACATTTTTTTTTAAATTAATCTAAATTCTCTTTTTCATTTATCATTGATATATTTGAGGAACTTTGTATTGAATTTTCAAAACTTTATTAAATCAAAGTTACTTTATCGACATGTTTGAAAAAACTGAAGAAAACATGAATTTATCCAATCATATATAAATAGCTCGAAAAATATATTGAAAATAATACCCTTTGAAAGTGAATGGTGAAGTATTCAATGAAAATTTCACGTTTTTATAATTATTAGTTTTTGCTCTCAAATAAGTTGATTAATTGATTAATTGATTGATTAAAGCTTCAAGATGAATTTAGTTTTCTTTCAACATTTTTTTTTTACCTGGTTCTATTTTTGAAGTATTCGGAGTATTCCTGAGTATTTCCTGTATATTTAAATTATTTTGTTATAAATAAAATGGTAATTGTAAACGATACTACAGTTTGTACTATATTTTTTTTGTGGTAAAATTAAAAAAAAATTAACTATTATTTTTCTGGGCCTCAATTTAGGAAAGAGCCCCATCATCCTTCTCTACGGCTTCCACGCTGCCGCCTTTACGGGATTCTCCATCTTCTCGGCTTTCGCGTGGCCGTTCAATTTGCGACAACCGACCGAGAATCTTCCGGGCTTGGGATTTCACGACCGCGTCTCGGTAATGTTCCACGTCCAAGTACATCCGGCCTTCCGAGTCGCGCTGGACGAGGGACGACTGGGTGCCCGTCCAACGGCGTGGTGCCTCGGTGGCCAGCAGGTTGAAACCTACACGGCTCAGCTGCTGGAAATTCGACTGCAGGTACACGGACGTCTGGCACACAGCTGCATTAAGACGGGCCGACAGTGCCGTATCTGCGTCGTCAACGTCCGGGTCTGTGGCCAACCGGTGGGCCAGCGCGAAATGCCGGCCTGCCACGTTCGTCATGCCACGGCGCGCGCACGATTGGCCGCGGGCCGCGATCGCTTTCACCAGTGCCCGGCCGCAACGTCTGTCCAGCGCCTCGTCGGCGATCCGCTGCAGGACGCGGTCGTCTTCCGGTCCCGGGCCTGCCACAACCGCCTCCCGGACCCGAGCTTCCAGGTCCAGGCCCGAGCGCGTTCCGGCCGCGACCGCCGCGCATTCCTTGAAACACTTGACCGCGCGGTCGGGTACGTTGACCGCAGCGTACCGGACGCCCAGCTCATGCAGTATTGGCGCGCGACGGCCGTCGTCCATGTCGCACTGCTCGGCCAGCCTGCACGCGGTCCGCACGGCCAGCAGCGCCCGGTCCGCGTCCAGTCCACCGGCGGCCGCCATCAGGATTCCGATTTCGACGTAACACGTGGCCACCCACGTGCTCACACGGCCGCCGTCCGCTTCCGTCACCGCGCCAGTAGCGTCCGCCACGTCGTCCGGTAGAAGCCAGTCCCGTCGGTGTCCGTCGTCGGCCAATTGCCGCGCGCTCTCCAAGAACCGCATGGAGGTTTGCGGGCGGTCGTTGCGCGCATACAGCCAACCGGCCGCGAACAGGCAGGTCGCCGCGACCGGTCCTTTGCCGCCATCGGCGTTTGCTCGCGAAGCAGCGGCCAACACGCACAGTTCGGCGGCCCACGACCACCGCGGACTCGCTTCGTCCCTGATGTCGCCGTCGGCCGGCCCGTCACCGCGGACGAACGCCAGCGCAGCTCGCACCAGACCCAACGGCGACCCGTCGCTTTCGGCCAACGCCAGTCTCACCCGTTCGAACTCGGCGGTGTGCAGCGGCTGCAGCTGCCCGACGCGACAGACGCGCTCCGCCTCCAGCAAATAGCCGAGCACCGAGGCCGCCCCGTCCAGCTGCCCGTCCGCCTCGACGAACTCCAGGTACGCCAGATGGGCCGCCGACATCTCGACCGATCGTGGACGTTCCACAGCCAAGTTGTCGGATTCCAGCTGTTCCCAGCAGTCCTTGTTCCATGCCGAAACCATGGCCGTCGTTGCCGTCCGGTCACGTTTTTCCGCGTACCGGCTCTTGATGTTCCGGTACAATTTCCGGTCGACGCGCGGTAAATCGCCGTTGGTCACCGGTTTATCCGACCATTGGTCGAACTTCGTGCCGCGGCCGCTGCTGCGGTCACAACACCGCGGTACTTCATGCATGCAAAATAAAAATCACGATTGACTTATGGGCGTACAGAAAGGTCGAGATAAAATAATTTTACAGAGTTTTCGATCAGTGTTAATATGCAGAGCCGTAATTAGGGTGAGGCGTGCGAGGCACTTGCCTTGGGCACCTGAAGCTGGTGGGCACAAAAATATTAAATAACTACTTATTTTAAGAAATGCTATTTCTTGTTTTGCTAAAAGCCTAATTACAATTTTTCAGATTTTTCCGAATCGTATTATACATATTAAAAGCTGTGAGTGTGACAACCCTACAACCTAAGGGGCACATTGCTTCAGTTCTGCCTCAGGATAAAAAATGGCTTGGTACGGCTCTGTTAATATGTTTAACACGACACAGACACAGACACCGCGATTATGTTATGCGTACCGGTATAACTGAACATTTTCTTTGGACACTGATGGCGAGAGCACACCGAGCTATTGTTGTCCGGCAATTTTGTTTTTAAAGTTGCGCCCGACGAACAACAATGTTTAGTACTTGAAAATAAAAACAATCGTTACGTATTACATTTGATACGCAGTTTATACGGCTACAAATAATATTTGTAATTATTTCAACCGATTAAAACGATTTTCGGACGGAAAATATTTTTCCTTTAAAGACATAATGATATAACAATGTATACATAATAATTACCGACAATTGGAGCCCATTACGATGTGGATTTAAAGCCCTTGAGTTGAAATAAAATGTTATAAAAATAACCAGCTATAACACATCATGTAGATAAATAAAGTATTTAAACATGGCAACATATAAAAATATTAAAACTAAGTATCAATGATAATTATAATAGCCTGAGTTACCTTATAGAAATCTTGTGTTAATTTTTGTTTCTTCATTTTTGAGCTGTACAAGACTAACTGAACATAATAGGTCATATAAGGCAGTGGTTTTTCTAACCTTTTCGACTCCCCAACCACTTTTCTTATCATACATTTTTCGCGACTCATGTCAACTTCGTTGGGCATTAAAACCAAAAATTAAATTTAAAATCGCTTAATGTATACCATTGTATAAGTGCTTTTATAACTGAATAAATTAAAGTTTATATTTTTCTAGGTATTTAGCTAATATTTAATTTTTATTATAAGTAATGATACATACTTGAAATCAAAATATTATTAAAAAAAAATTTCTAAGATAATTGTCCCTGACTGTTTTCATACAAAATATCGCCACCTCAGCTCAATTTTACACGGTGCAGTTTATAGATAAATTATATGTAAAGTAGATTTATGGATTAAGTCGGGCTATCGCTATTCAGCATAAAAGGTTATTAGCCATTTAATATTACATATTACATACATATCACAAAAAATGTGTACAATTTAGATCATTCTAATAAACTTAAATATTGGGTAAAAAAGTAAATTTTTTATGTAATTTTTTGATTTTTTTCTATTGATTTTTGACGAAAATAAATATTATAAGCTTTGTCAAAAATGTTTGACGATCTCCAAATATTGTATGTAATTTAAATGGCATTAGTAAAGGGTTTTTGTATGTTCTGAGTCTATAATTTTACCGTTACAGGGAAAAACTTTTACTCATTTTTTAAAAAAAATGTTATCCCATTGTCAGCCGGTATTAAATTTAATTCATAAATTGTGTTCTAATTTTTTCTCAATTAATTCTCTTATATTTTATAAATTAAAAACGTATTATACTGAGTCCAAAATTTATAAAAAAATTTTGTGTGAATTTGTGTAGAAGGGAAAAACGAAAAACTGAGAGAAACTTTCTACCTAAATTTGGTGAAATTAGTGCTATGAAAATGTTACATTTTTGAAATGACAGGAAAAAACGAAAAACCTGAGAGAGACTTTTTACCTAAAATTTTAATTTTTCCCTCTAACAGAAAAATTATGGACTCAGAATATACAAAAACTCTACTGGCATTTACGTACTTATTTCTAGCATGATCATCGGAGATATTTTAATAGGAAAAATCATCAAGGATCTCTGGACATTCAATTTACTCCTTCTAATTTAGCAAATATGAATTACTATCCTATCAAATAAGTTGATATGGAACGGTCTTTTAGTCAATAAAAGAGTATTCTTCGACCAAATCGTCGCAATTTTTTATTTGCAAACCTTCAGCAATATTTATATTGCTCATTGCTTTGTTTCAGAATAACACTCGTTGTTTTATGTAACTACATCATTTGTATTACTTTTACTTAATATTTATAAATATTATACTAATATATTTTTTCGATAATTACATATTTAGGATTTTTTATTCAATGTTTTAAGAAAAACTGGTACATGTATATGTACATATATTGATATTTTTTATTACAATAAAATCCGTTTCCTAATCATTAACCATCGTAAATTACGACAGTGATGACGCAACGGTTTTATGTAATCGATGACGTTCACGTTTAGCGGGATTATTCATTTGTTTTTTTTTTTTTTTTGTTTTTTCGTCTTGAAATTCAACCGGAATGTATCGTTAGTGGTGGTCTCAACATTACACCGCGATCAGCTACGGCACGCTAACGGCCAGCTGGCCCCGTGAATCGAGGGTGGCCACGGAACGGCTGATCCACCCGGACGGCACCGGGCCCGATACCTGTGGCGGTCCCCTGCGTACGGCTCACCGACCGCTGTTCCGAGTGCGCGAATATCGGTTTTGCGCACCTCGAACGTGGTCGGTCGGACGCGCGCTTCGACCCAGGGATTTTTTTTAACGTGCGTTTGAACACATTTTGCGTAACTTTAAACGAAAGATGCGCAGCTCTAATTAAAAAAATGCGCAGTTGTAAAAACTATCTGTAAATAAAATTTCTCACAATAATAAATTGTAATTATTATTTTATTATCACAATATTATTGCACGACCGCAGCGGGGTTTATAATCATAAACACAAAGTAATATTTTTGAGAGTACGGGGAGGGGTTAAATTTTAATTTTTGCGCACTTCTAAAAAAAACTTCAAAATAAGCCGACGACCGTGTGCTATACGATGCTCGTTGCGTAGTCCCGCGCCGTTACAGCCGAGGCACTAGGTCACCCTTAGCGCTTTCTGTCCGTTATCATCGTCCTAGGTGTACACCTGACCAAAAAGTCAATTTAGATACAAAAATTTACCTAATTTCTATTAGATTACCAATTTTATGTTACCTACCGCTGCCAGTTGCCGAGACCAAGTACTCACCTACTAAAATATTACCCACCCCAAACATTTTGGTAGTTCAGTGAACCACAAAATTCATGATCAAGCCGTCTCTGCACCTGACCCTGTAGCCAATATATTTGCTGTAACATGATGGGGAACGGTAGAAAATCGAGACTTGCACTGGCTTCACTGGGACTAGCTGTCCCGACACGGCGTTGCCCGCGTATTAGTTGGTTTTTTGGCATTTTCGTAGGCCATGTATTAGTGTTATAATGTATGAGAAAATTTAAAAGTAATAGGTAAAGTATCTAAATGTTGAAATTAAGTACAAACCAACATATATATTTTCTGAATTTACGTCGTACCGAACTTCGCATTTTATACCTTTGAACATTTCTCGAAAATTCTATAACTTTCTTCATTACAACAATTGCAATGCAAAAAATAATATTGAGATAAAAACTATCCTATATATTTATTAAAATAATTGCAATGCAAAAAATAATATTGAGATAAAAACCATAGGTTAGGTTAGTTATATAATTCTCGGAACAATTCATATCTACACGCCGACGACGATAAAACACACACAATAGAAAAAAGGTCAGATTACAGGTAGCTATATAGATACTTGCGGTCGGTCACGGGAAAACCCGAAATACACCATGCAATTATACACGTTTATTAAAAAGTTAATTAAAATATTTAAAATATTAAAAAATTTGTAAAAAAACTATCCTATATTTTAAGTTGGACCAAATTACACACGGTGTAAAAAATTTCATCAAAATCGGTCCAGTAGTTTCGGAGATTATCGCGAACATACATCGTGACACGAAATTTTTATATATGAAGCGGGTGCACGTCTACATTATAGACGATCCGACACCAGATTATAAATCATCGATAAATTATTAATCTGCACGGATAAAAGACGATCAGAATAGGTATGTTTGGGTACGAAAAAAATTATTTTCGATACGTGCAGAATGTAGCATAGAACCAACGTTCTTGTGTTCCTGCCGTAAAATGTGATATTTTACGTAAGATAATATGAGAATTATAACATAATAAAATCGTGTATAATATTTGTTCAAACAGGTAACTTTTTAGAATTTTCGTACTGACTATTTGAAAAATGTATTGTAATCATTATTTTTGTCCCTCAGGCCGGGGCAACACACTAGCGTTATTTTACCACGCCTTAATTTTACTGCGCGTTCTGTTAGAGTACACTAAAATGAATAGACGCGCAACACACGAGTGTCGCGCAATAAAATTACGGCGCGATATTTCGAAAACTGTCGCGTGCACCTTAACTTAACCGTGCGTTAAAAATACCGCGCGATAGGTATTTTCTGTTAATATGCATTGAATTAAACGAACGGCCACACGTCGGCCGTAATAATCGCGCGACAAGTCGGACGGTTTGTTATCTATCGTTGATAATAATAGTCGTAGTCCGTTCGTGTGTCGGTCGATGTTTTTACCCCGCATTACATGCAGTAAAATAACGCTAGTGTGTTGCCCGCCTTAAACGATGTGCTTACGAACGCGTTGATAAAAAATAACACGGCACGATGATTGACCTGCTAAAACGTATAACGCAATCCGCTACACCATTATATGCTATAATCTATAATCGCTTTCAGTGACAATATAAAATCGGTATTTAACACGAAAAAATAAAATGTTCTGTAACTCTTGTGTTGCAATTATTTGTGTACGATTTTTTTTTTTCTTACTGCGCGGTTTTCGTCACACGGACAACATCAACGACAACTTGACAATTACGATTTGAGGACAAAACCACGAAACGTTATATAAATAAAACATGACACGTATAAACGAAATAAACAAGTAATATATTTGTACTTTGTATTGTTATTGTTCGGAAATAAAAAAAAAATCTCAACTGAATAACACTTCTACTAATAACAACGTTTACGGAGTGATGGCACCAACTAATTCACGCTGTATTATAATGGTGGCCTTAAATCTGCTGGATCGAACCGACTAGGTGATCCATCAGATAAATAAATTACAAAAATCGATCACCTCTCCCATCCAGTTTGTAACGATGTAAAGATGTTCTATCCGCAGCTCTTTAGACACGGTTGAATGCAAAACGTTCTAACGGAAATAAACGACGCGCTTATTTTATAATTTTAATGAAATCGTTTTTTGTTGCGTTTTGCATTAAACTGATTCATTTTTATAAAATATAACCAATTTGTCAACGTTTTTCGGCTAGTGGTTTTAGTTCAAATAACCAGTAGGTTCGTTCACACAGCAATCGTGTTGGTATTTCTATTTTGAATGAAAAGTGTTATACAATGTCGGCAAATCATTCGTGAAGTAGAATTTTTATTTAAATTTGTTTTCAATTATCTTCTTGTGGACCTGTCAATTACGTCCGAAGAGGTCTATAAATAATTTCGTTACATATTCAACCGCATAGAAACCTCGGTAATAATAATTTAATATTTTACAATTATGTCGCATCGCACACACTCTATGTCATCATAGCTAATGATCATAACGGAACCCATTGTCAATGTGGAATTGTCTGAAAAAGTAGCATTATTGTAACGTAAATGGGTTTAATCTATAAACGGGAATTTTGTGTATGACACGTGCCGACGATCGTTGGTCACATAAACGAGAATTTCAAAATCACCAAATATTTTATGAATATGATTTAATGTCGGACTAAACATACATTTTCGAATAAACAATTAATGTTTGGAATTCAAAGGTTTTGTCGTCGAATTTTAAATGTCTTTTTTCGGTAAAATTTTTGACCGACTTATTTCCGCATTTGCGATTTGTGCGGCATATAAAAAAAAATGTATTTTAATCAATGATGTTAAACGAATAAATAAAATAATTAACACCGTTCGACTGTTAATATTTTGAATCATCATTATTTCTATCATATATTTACGTATACTTAT